ACACATTTTTAGTTATATATCATTTCTTTATTTAGGAAGAATTTTCTCAGCAAGAGCCTTAAATCTGTGACCTCTGCTCCCTGCACCCCCCCCACCCCCCCCTCCATCTCAAATGAAAAGCTGGAATATGTCCGTCCCGGGGCCTCATGCAGAACAGTGTGTTCCTGGAGGGGAAAACGGACGTCATGGAGGTGCAGGGAGACATGCGGGAGGAGAGAAGAGAGCGAGACAGTGCAGAGGGGACACAGAGGAAGGGAATGGATGACAATGGAGGAGAATGTTGCCGTTGTTTCTTTTTTCCATTTTAGCGGGAGGATCTTCCACTTGGTCTTTGGTAATGCGTTTTAACGACTGTATCCAAACTCATCAGCATCGTCAGCCCGGAAATCTCCATATCGCCAGAGATTGAGCTGGAAAAAGTAGGGGAGGGTTAACCATGAACGGATGCAGAATGAAACTGCACCAGACACCTCATTGACTTTTACCACGCCCCCCCCCACTCCCACGACCCATCACAATCTCCCAAATTTACGGCTGTTTATTCCATTTATGGGACACCCCAGTCAAGCTTCTCTACCGGAGGTTCTGCCTCCTCCCCAGCAAATGAGACATTTATAGGATGGATGAAAGCGGGTAGCATTGCTCATGATGGAGAGGGAAATAAAAACGATACACAATTAAAAAGCTAGCTGTGATGTGGAACCTATGATGCGTCATTGTTTTTCCTGCCTAACTAGCAACCAAAGCTAATTAGCCGCACATACAATCAATACCCTTTATGAATGACATGAGAGTTCACCGTCTGGGTCGCTCTGTTGTTTCAGCTCCCATCTAATCACTTGCCGAGCTCGTGTGAAGTGCTCCTAAAACAAATACTCTCTGTTTCAGCTATTCCTTTACTTAATGGGGCTGTACTCAGCATTTAAGCATGCCAGAGGTAGCTATTAATCTAATCTACTACGGATCCTGGGCCAGTAACCCCAAAAGCTTACAGATGTACAATAAAGATGTACAAAATAATACAGATGTACCACACAAGGTACAGTAAACATCTGAGGTTCATTCATGGGGATCACTGGCCCAGACAATCACAGGGTGCCAACGATGAACGATAAACACTTACCCTGGAGCTCTTTGCAGCCTCCTGCGCCTTCAGGTATTCGGCAACCTGTGGAAAGATGGGAGGGAGGGGTTAGGCCAGACCACCTGTGATCGGGAACGCTGGGAATGTAGAGTAAGCCCGTCAAGCCTATGCTACTCAAAGAGTGCTTGGCTCAAGACCAAGTCCTTCTCAGGAGTGACACTCAAAGCCCAGCTGGGTAACCTACTTATTCTAAACACGGGAATACAAACCATGCAGGTAATTCTTACTTAGCCTGGTAAAGCGATCAATGATCATGTCGAAGGGAGTTAACTTGACTACGGTAAATGGGCACTGTTGGCCTGTTGCGGTCTGGCCCAGAGGCCCATAGCTCTGGGCATGTAATAGCATTTAACGTGTGGTGTCATCTCTACGGTAAGGAGACATACAGAAAACGGGTGCTATCATTCTGCTGCAAAGCCATGCTATCACTGCTGTAAGGGCTTCTTAGGGTGTAATGTACCGTGGAATATGGCCAGGGAAGGGCTGTAATCCTCACGTTATCATACAAGCACACTTACATCTGTTTTTTTTCCTATTCGTTAAGCAATCAAAACAATTTGTTTGAGTTCGACCGTCTAACAGCAATTAGAAACAAATCAGTTGCAACCGGAAGGAATCCATGGATAGTGTTCGCCCATCTAACCAACACCAGATCTTTCTAGAACCATCACAGACAAACACCATGCAGTCCTGAAATTGCTGCAGCATCTTGCATGTTCATAAAGCAATCAGACAAAACTTTCCAAGACATTGATGATTCTAATACTTCTGGAAAATAATTATATTGACGTACAAAACTGGGGTTCTCAAACAAATTACAGCAGACTACATTTTCTATGAATTGATCATCAGTTAAGAAAAGCTGTTTTCATTAGAGCTTGACTACAAATGGGAAATGGCTGTAGGGGTGGGGGAGTCATGGAGCCAGTACTTGGCTTAGAAGGGAGTGATAGGCGATCACCCAGACCTCATTGGACAATGTGAATATATAGGCCTGTTCGGGGCTAGTTCCAATGACCAGTCTCAAGATCCAGTCTTTTTGAACTCTACAGGTTTAGCCATTTAGCTGAAAATCTTAACCCCCAACTGCATTTATAGTATAGCCCAGGGATGCCCTGCACATTTTTGGGTTGCCGCTCAACACGTGATTCAACTCCTTGCAACTTCTTGTGCTGATTACCACACAGCTCTTGAGCTGAATCGTTTGTGGTGGAACAGGGAAAGAACTAAGTTACACAGGACTCCGGCCCTTCTAGACTAGAGTTTGACACCCCTGGTATAGCCTATCTATGTGTGTTTTGCTAAAATCACCCTACAGAGATACTCTCCCACATGTATTTAACATTTTTTGGGAATACTGGGGGTGAGGAGGCTTGATGGCCTTGTAGAGGACATCCGGTGACTGTGCTTCATGCCTCCTATTAAGAAATATAAGAACAGCAGCCATAAGAAATTAGCTGTCTTACAAAATGGCAGGTGTTGGAAATCGCAAACCGTGTCACACCCTCCCTCCCTCAAACTTCTCCCCCTAGGGGGCCGAACCACTATGCTGGCAAGCTGGTTAATATGTGGCATCTCACACATTTCATTGCAATGAACTGGCCACCTGACTTTAAAGGCCATGCATGTTCTGGTACGAATGGCCTCAGTCAGACCTCTATTTGAACGGCTAGCTAAATGCAGAATGCCAGCAGTCATTTGGCGAATCACGTGACTGGCCACTGATTGAGAAAGCTCAGCAGAAATTACTCGTAAACTCCAGCTGAGCTCCTCTTCTCAGCTGCCCCCCCCATCCTCTTCCATCATAATCCCTGACAGATTTTGCCCCCTGCTGGCCAGACTCACTCGGCTGTGTTTAAAACAGCTGCGTTGGTCCAAACAGCCCAGTATCATGTCTATTAATTTCCATCCTCTTTCATCAATGCCTCCAATTATCAGCACCAGCACACAGACTACGAGGAAAGCTGTCAAATAGGAACAATGTCAAATTTCGTTAAACAGCCTCCGTTTTACAGTAATTAACGCCCGTAGTGCAGTTACTGTGTCGAAGACTGTGGGTAATTTTTGCAAACGAGGTGTCCAAGGCAATTTGGTCATAGAATGGTATGCTTGGTACATGTATCCCCTAAGACAAAATGTCTAAAATAAAGAGTTATTACTCAAATCGACCATCATCTTAAGCCTTCAGTGGACTTTTAATTACATAAGGAGGACCACCAGAGCTTTATATCACATCCCGGTGATGCTGAAAGCCAGGTCCACGACGTTGCCGAAGTACGACAGAAGGCGAAGACACGTTAATGCTGGAGAAACACTTGCCACTTACCGCCAACCAGCCCACACGTTTCCTGGTGGCTGTCCTAATCTTGTTATGCGAATGACAGGACCATCATAGAGATTACTCGTGGGAACGAACACCAGAACTCCCCAGCAAGATACACATCCGGACCAAAGTCATCTCTACAACTGTTTATGGGAATGTTAATGTTTTCCTGTCCATCTACCCCAGCCCCTGCCACACTCCACCTTTCTGTCGTCTGAGCTGCCGTCTGGCACCACAACAAAAGGATTTCCACGGACCTGCTCATCTAGAAGGTAAAGCTGATGTGATCCCTGTGACAGATGGGAATCACTGAGGGATGCTCCCATTGTTTAACCCCTACAGTCCAATTAAGGCACGCTCTCTTTTTTCATGGATGACGGAAGAGTGACGGGTCACAGTTTGGATGATCGATCCGATTACAGCCAGTCGCAGACCCTCAGTCTGGTGTATCTACATCCCATCATCTTCATGATCACTATCCAGGCAGGTTCGGGTTTCAACTGTAGCTGAAGAAAAGGCTCAAGACCTGCTTGCATGTTTGGGGTTTACTTCATTTTCCATATCAGGAGAACCCCCTTGTTCCAGCTGGCTCACCCGAACATACATGTTGTGCTCTAAAATGCCCTTCAGGATTTCCCAGATAACAGCCAAACGTAGAGCTTGGAAGATTTTATTTGTTCTTTCCTGACAATAACAGAGTGATCTTCTCTAATCCTCCAGGATAAAGTCATGTCTGAAATACTTTCCTCGTTCTGTATTTCTCTCATCCACTGCTGCTTGGTTTGCTTTGTAGCTGGGTACGTGAATATGTGTTTTTTGCCAGCTCACTACATTATGCACTAAGATGCCACAGAGTCAATCCTTCGAGCACCATGAGAATTTGGCTGATCACTACCACTCCATGATTCTCCTCCCTGATGTTACACGACACTTGCTCCTGGAGAAGAACCACACTCTCTACTGAGCTGGCGGCAATTAGGCTTGCATCAAAACACCTGCACGCAAGTCTTCGTCTGGTACGTGAAGGGAAGCCCTCCGTACATACGATCCATTCTGTGCATGGAGAGCGCGGCAATTAGCGTCGCTAAGACTGTTAGCCATGGCACTGATTACCACCATACTTCACAGATGTCTTCTGGGGACCCCGATAGCAATGTCGACAACGGCGGTCTGTCTTCGCAATCTCACTCCGGCGCATCTGCAGGGTATTTATCGTCTCGTCACCTGGAACGGCAGCTCCGCGCTAAACGATTCCTTAACAGCGCATGAGGGGCCGTAGCACTAGTCGGAATGCATTTAAAGTGCTGCACCATTTGGAGTGAATTTAACAACCACTGGGAAAAATAAGACTTGCTATGTGCCTCAAAGCATGCAGCACGATGCTACTGGGTGCTAAAGTCTTGGATATATCACTAAGTATTAAATGTAGGCAGACTGGGTTTCAACAAGGACCAAAGCGAATATGAGAATCTCATTTAAATTAAATGTCTATGTACGAAGGTCTCCTTAAGCATTTGTGTGTTTCTCATGTTATCCATCCCCCCGTCTTTCATAATCTCTTATCTAGTGCAGGGAAATGGCGATCCTGGAGCCAATCGCAGGAAGCACAGGGCACAAAGTAGGGGAACACCCTGGATAGGATGCCAGGCCAACCAGCCAAGTCACCTAACACCATGCTTCTGGACAGCAGGAGGACACCTGGGTTTCTGGACTAACCCACAGGACCATGGGGAGAACATGCAAGCTCCGCAGATATTCGAATTTGAACCTGCAACCGTGGAGGAGACAGCAGGTTGGTTTGCTATATTAAATTCTTATGGTAAAGATTGAGTATTTCTTTCTGGTACCGATAAACTGTAGGTTCAGAGTGGAGAACAGTTCATTTTGCTTTACAGTGTGACCTTACCCTTTAAGAAAGCCTGGAAAAGCACACGCTGTGTTTACCTGGGAAGGCGTGAAGCGTGGCAGCGAGCCGCGCTGGCAATCCGGCGGCATGCGGAGGCCAACGTGAGATGAAAAACAACCTGCTAATCTGCACGGGGCCCAGGTGACGACGAGCCCTATCGTAAATAACTGCGCCACGGAGACGCAAAGCTCCATTCGCAGGAAACTGTTACTGCCTCAGGTTATACTCCCCGAGGCGCTTTCCCTGAATACGACGCTTCTGCGTCATTAAGACATGTGCAGGGGAAAAAAAATCTTATCAGTGTCGGAGAGTATACCTCCATCTTCACTCAGAATTCAGCATGCGGCCAACAGCTGTACACAAGGGCAAGGCAAGGGGGCTGGCTCTCAAATTACATCAGGGTGGGACCAAAATGTGCAGAAAAATCCCATAATGCACTGCCACTACACAAGCAGTTCCCTTCTAGGTGTCAGCTCACATATGTCAGGGTGGGATCAAAATCTGCAGAAAATTCCCACAATGCACTGGCACGACACAAGCAGTTACTTTTGAGCATTCTGTATTCCAATAACTCTTCCAGCTTTCCACATTGTCTATGACCTCTCCAGTCGGCCTTGATTAAGAGCTGGACAACTGCGATCTGCTTACAAGTATTGATGTTGATTTATCTGTTTGCCGGATACATGTTTTCATCCCGCTCTTTTTATTGGCCCTTTGATGAAATATCGCTTCCACCTGTAAGGAAAGCCCTGACCAAAACAGAGCAAAACAACAAAAAAGTATTAATCTGTCAGGTTTCCGAGTGGACAGGCCCGCTTCCCTGGCCTAACCCTGTTTAAAACTGACGGATTCTCAAATTCTCAAGTGTCTCTAACAATAAAGCTTGCCACGAGGAGCGCGCTCTTTAAAGCGAAACAATCTGCGCAGAAAAATGACCACAATTTGTAGATAATGCCACTTTTGCGCGGTTAAGCCTTATTTCCAAATGCGAAATCAGTTTTCCTTTCACCTCCCACCTGTTTCCTTTTGCGAACACTGTAAAACTCACCACATTCGGTGCAAGTTTTACCCTCCTGCCAAAACAACTCCCATTGTGGTGTTAAACTGACTATCGGATTCTGTAATTCTGGGGGTACTTACAAAAGCAAATTTACCCAGAAGACAGAAAAACACATTCCCTTAAATTTATGTTCAAACGTAGGGGACCAACAACCATTCATCTTCAACAATCCAAGACATTCATATGTTCTTTCAAGTAGATATTTAAATTTATATTTTAATTATTGAGCAGACTTTTATTCAAAGTGACGTACACCTGTGAAAACTGGGTCAGAGAATTCCTGTAGCAATTGGGGGTTAAGGGCCTGATTGGGGGCCCACAGTGACATCACTATGCCGACCCAGGGATTCCAACCAGTGATGATCTCTCTGATCACAGCCACAGCATCCTAAACCCATCGAGCCTGAGAGACTGAAGACAGAGTGAACCCATGGAGTTTTTTTTTTAAAAAAAGAAAACACTTCAGCCACAAAGGAACGAGGCCCGAACACAACGTGACAAGACATGAGCCCACGGCACGCCATCCTGCAGTCGATTCCATTGGACTCCAGAAAAACGGAGAGTGAGGTCATTATACAGGCCAACACAAAGAAAGGCCAGTTCCAAAATATAAATAAATAAATGGGAGCTCTCGGGGCCAGACAAGCCAAATTGGATTTTTAAGGGTCGCGGGATGTCGTAGGACATCAAAACCTGGTTCTGTCCTACCTTCATTAACTTCTCTGGTGTGGTTTATCAGCAAGACACGGGGGGAGAAAAAAACTGAAGGAAACAGGTGTTTGCAAACAAACTCTGGCTGCATTAAAGAGGTTCAGCGAACATGCATTTCCAGAGCAGGAGAATCAACCCCGAATATGAATCTCATTTCGGTGCCACCCGATGCCGCTCTGAGTAAATAATGGTTGGAGAATGTCACAGTGTAATGGCAATAATTATTATACAAATAGCCTTGTTTACTTTACTCTGCACAATCTATAACACGATTTCTCAACGCCCTGCGAAATTAGCATAATCTGGAAGCACAAGCACGAATTCTCAGGTTAAAATGTTAAACTCTTGCTTTTCCATGTGGGGTGCTGGTTTTGAGGACTGGAGAGGAATAGCTAGCCAAGAGGTGCTTTATCAAAGGAGGGCCTGCCTGTCGGGGGGGGGGGCTGTCCTCGCACTCACACGCCAGAGACACGGCTGTTACCTGCCTAGCATGATTTAAACCCCCCGCAGTCATGGCACCTGTAGGCCTCACTTCCTCCAGCAGCTAACGACATGCACATCTGTGCCCCCCTCCAATCCAGTGTTTAATTGCCCAGGCGACTCACCGGCGTCGTGTAATTGGACAGTTTTACACCCTCGGTTACTTATGGGGGGATTTTCGGAGCCTGCGGCACCTGCCATGTCATGCAGGCACCAAAGGGTGGCGCTCACCGCTACAACGCGGCTCTGCTCCCACGGTGACACTTATGACACTACCTGGAAGTGTCATCATCTAAACACCATAATCTCAGGCACAAACCCAGATATCTCAGCTGATGATTACAGAATTAACTGACCTTATTGTCCTTGCCTCGAACCTCGAACGGGGTCGCCCCTGGGGGCCTCCCCCAGGGAAACACGGACACAAAAGAGTTTGTCGCGAAAACCAGCCGCTCGCATACTGCAAATTTATCTCACCAATTAACCAATTAAGAGTAATCACTTCATACTCGTTGACCAATCGACCGTCACATTAGTCGGCCGACAAACACTGATGCTGACCCTAAGTAGCCAGTGGATTTTGCCCCCTTTTTTGTAATGCATGCAGCTCTATAGTTCAGTTTACAGGCATCAAAGAAGGCTGCCACACAAGGCCTCAAACCCATACTGTTCAGCTTGAGCCCACGTCCCGAACCCGTACACCATGTGGGCCCCTATATTTAACATTCTACCCGCATTCTATTTAAAATATCAATTTCCTGTCTTCTCCCATCCATTGTAAATGTGAAGCTTACTGATCCACCCAGCTGGATACACAAATACTGTACACAGGGGAGTGTTCAGAGCAGGGAGGGGGGGCGCTTTTCAGAACATCCATCCATCCCTCGCTCGCTGAGGATATGGGGGGGGGCTCCAACAAACAATGGTGCAGCTCGATGTGTAAGCCGTGTCTGCGACGGTGTGGACAGAATGCAGCTGAGGGGGTGAGCTTGCATAATGGGGGTGCGCTTCCTGCTGATTGGTTGACATTTCAGGAAGTGATGCGGAGCGATGGTTCTCTGGCCTCGCTGGACCTGCGAGAGTAGCAGAGATGATCCTGGGCTGAGCTGGGGGGGCGCTTGACTGACATCTCGGAATAATTAATCCTGTCACCCTGTAAGGCTCTGCATTGCCTGCCTGGGTCCTGCATCATTTTGAGATGTTTTGAATATTTTAAACAAAGGACAACAAATGGAGACCCCCAGGCGTCGGCATCCTCGTCAGGCGGACCGCCGACGGTGCGCCCTGGTGGTGGGGAAGGACGACGGATGAAGGGGAGGCCAGAGATAAGGGTTCTTCAGCCTGCATGGGGCAGAACGGCGAGGGCACTCCGGACCGAGGAGGCAGCTTTCAGCCATAAATCAGGCCTGAGGGCCACGCAGCGGGATTTATGAGGTCCCTATTAATCAGAGGTCTGGCAGCAGGGCAAAGGACGGCCAAAATCGATCCAGGTAGATGGGGGGGTGTTAAAGGTGCGTTATTCCACCATTACGACAAATGCCTCCCTCAGACTGCTGCAAGTCGAGGACAAACCATTCCCGGGAGAAAGTGGCGATCTCTGAACTTGGCGCCCGTTCGCAGGTCAAAAAAAATGGCTTCTGGCCGACCGACGAAGGGGAACCGCCTGACAGACACAGCTACGCCGAGCGGATCCGATCTGAGCCGCGGCCTCTGCCTCAGGCGCAGTGCGCCGGGTGGATGGAGCTCTACGGCAAACCACCACCTCTGCAGGGAATCCTGCCGATCACTCGAGCTGCCGAACGTCCCGGATGCCGCGGCTCGCATAAACACGGCATTAGTGCTCCGCTGCGGCTGCGCTGTTCGGACGGAGGGACGAGCGGAGAAGCGCCAGCCGAGTGGCAGAACCGGTATGAGGTCACGTCGAGGGTCTGAGCAAGAAGGAGCACGTACAGGGAAGCTCCTACGGAATAATCAGTGATGACAGACAAGACGGCCTTAGTTCTGTGCTGTACGTACTGAGCTACAGGCGATACAGTTAGATACAAACAGATAGAAACAATCAGGGATGGATGGATGGACAAGCAGGCAAAGGTAGACAGAAGCAGAGGAAGGCAGAGAGGCAGACAGATGGATGTGATGGACAAAGGACGATGGACAGAAAGAGAGGCAGCCAGCCATGACGCTACCCTACCATCTTCTGCAGGTGCTTGTCCTTCCGCACGTCCACCATGACCATGCCCTCCTTGACCAGGCCCAAGCCCACGTCGTCCTTGGTGTCAGTGAACTGCAGCGTCACGTGCTGGCAGCTGCCCTCGACGTACTCCACGTTGAGCAGGCACTGCGTGTTCTGGATGTCCCGCACCACACAGTCCACCACATCGGCTCGGGCGTCCTCCTGCGGGGGGTGTCAGACACACCATCGGGGGGGGGGTCACTACACAGAGGTGGGATAATGGGACTGCCCCCATCCCCCAGGCCGCCTCTGACCGTCACTGTACCGAGCCGCGCGCATGCGGGCCCGTCTCCACAGCAACCAAAGAAGCAAGTCGTCCTTGGGGACACAGAAGCATTTCAAGGATAATTCCGGACACATTTCCCCGATGCTTCAAACGGCTTCTATTATCCTCCCAAGCATACTGGGGAGCATCTTCTGCGTGGGGACGATAACTTCCTGCACAGGGTGCGAGACCCGCCGGCCAACGTGCCCCTGAAAGCTAATCCGGAGGAAGTGGCTGTGGGCATGCCGAGGATTTGTGGATTAGCCGGGCCGAGGAACAGAGTCGGCCCTCAGTGTGCCGGACCATACCAAAACAGCGTGTGGTCTGCAACAAGTGTTGGTCATGTGATCGGCAGGCATTGGGCCAAACCACTCTAGCCTGGGGGGGGGGAGTTCCAAAAGCTCTGTGACAGGGATCAGAGCTGGTATCATAACCATGGACAGGGACACCCAGGGATGGGTCACCATGCCGCTCCCACCTGGTACCTAGTGTTCACTGCGTCCGGCGGAATACTCACATCTTGCGGGACCTGGATGTAGGCGAAGGCGTTCTCCGTGGCCTGAGCGGGCAGCGCACGGATGTTGAAGGCCGGGGAGAGAGGTGCGAGTCGCGTGGAGGACACCGTCTCTCTCTGCAGGGAGGGAGATACAGGCTAACCGGGAATTCTTCAAACCATGACCTTTTTTCACAGGACATGTTAACCAACCGAACCTTAAATGATCAGTTTTATCATTTATAATGATCCATTTTACATTTCTTGTATAAGCACACCAATAAAACAATACCTCTAAAAAACCAAACAGCATAATGTAACGCAGAGTCAGAGTCCATTCCAGCACATTCTGCTTTAATCACTCAAGATTTGAGGAAACCGTTTCTAAGAATATGGTGTAGGTGAATGTCTGCGGCCTGAACTCCACCTCCAGGGACACCCCCGGGGGGACACCATACTCACGTTGCCGTAGTCGATGTAGAAGACGTGCACTTTGGCAGGAGACTCCACCCGTTCCACTTTGGCTCTGTACCTTTAAGATGGAGGACAAGGGTAATTAATGGGACGACTCGCCCGTTTACAGACTCAACAGGACTCAACGCATCACAGCAGCGCTGCACACTGTGACCCACTGTCAGAGAAGGTGTTAAGTACACAATGAGAAGGATGGGGGGGGGGGGGCAATCGCTGTCTCAGAAGACAGTTGTTTATATTTGCAGAATCGAAGATGACAGCTGTGTCCATTTACATTTGGCTGACATATAACCTTCCAGAAAAAGATGGTCAAATTATCTGCCTGCCTACCCCCAACCACACAATCAATGCGGTGACGATATTCCAAGCACCAAATTTCCCCTTTTCATCGAAGGCTGGATTCTTTGCTCATTCCAGATGTAAGACTTCATTTACTCAAGGTCCTTCTGTGTCTGAGCTGCATTGAGGTGGGGGGAGGGATGTGGGGGGCATAGATCTCAGCTTATTCTGCGTTGCCCTCATGCCGACTGAAGTTCACAGAGATACAAGGTTCTCTGCTTCTTTTAGCCAGAACCAGCAATGCCCATTAATGCTTTACAGAGTAAAACCTAACTTCTGATTTACGCTTCCCCCCCCGGGTCTTGACCGATGGCGGCCCCCAGGTACATTTATGCACCGCTGCGAAACCACTGTATATTCCTGCACAAGGACGGGGGGAGAGAAAGACACCAGAGACAGGAACAGAGGGGACAGGTCTACATGCACTGGGCTATACCTCTGCAGCAGAACCGACCGCGGCCGCCAGCTGTCAGACAAGACGGAGATCCACAAAGCGGGTTCTGCTACCTTTAAGGAAAAACCTGCACTAAGATGGTCCCTCGGGAAAAGCAGACACAGCATGGTCAGGCTTGTCGTTTCTGGGACCCACTCAAAATTCACTTTGGGGCCCCATTCATGGATGTTTCAAAAAAACTAAATAAATAGCAAGCGAGTAAAGAGTTTGTAGCTAGCTAGCAGATTAGCAGAACATGCTGCTTCAGCATCTCTTAAACAAGGAACTAGTTTGTTTAATATTTAGTGTAGTGACTGTTTGTGGCCAATAGGGGGCCACGTAAATGTGTGGTTCAAGTGGTGGTAAATGGAGTGCGGCGACCTCCACATAAAACAAACCTCACACCGCAGGTACAGTTACGTATTTGGTCTGTGCACATGCACGCACACACGGGCGCACACACACACACACACACACACACACGCGCGCACACACACACACACACACACACACACACACAGATGGACATGCGCACACACAGCGAGAGAACAGACACACAGATAGCATGCAAGTAGACACAGGGAAGCAAACATAACCACCTCAACACAGGTCGAGGCTGTGTTAACACACCCCAATAGAGACATACAGGCCTGTGCAGAAATTTACACACAGACACACAAAGCTGTGCACTCAGCCTCTCTGTATGATAGACCAAAGCCCACAATTAATTATGCAAAATGTACGCCAAGCATCTAAATGAACCACGACAGCCCGCATTACCGCAGAAGCAAAGGTCTGTTGCGCTCAACGCGACCAGACCGCACCCGAATCCCTTCCAGCGTGGTGCTGGCGGGTAGCGGCAGTTCCCATCTGCCGTAAAGCCATCTGTAACCCCGAACAGCCACGGACATGAGTTCGGGCTCAGATACGGGGATTTGGCAGTCCGGGCGAACATCGCAAGTAACGTATGGCGAAAGTCAGCCCCCAACCATTAGCGGGACTGGCAAAGATGCACTTCAATAGCTGCTCCCGTGTGATGCTATAAGGTTCCATGCACCCAACTGCTCTCGTCCCAGTCTCTGACTCCTAAAGGAGTTACCCTCCAATGCCAGAAATGAAAGAGACTCTCAGAATGCTCAGGAAATCTTTCCGCATAAGCATTACACCGACTTCCAACTTCTGCAAACACAGAAATTCCTGGCTCCACTCTCGGAGTCATTCCACGTGGCTCCTGGTGAACCCACGTGGCTCCTGGTGAACCTCAAGAGCCCGGCACTCACCACTCGCCGTCACCAAATTTGGAGATGCAGTACACTCCATTGTGTGGGGTGAAGGCGCCCTCGACCGGCGGCTGGGTGGCGATCTCAGCACGCATGGTCTCCATCAGGGTCTCAAGCTGGGCACCTGCAAGAAATGATGAGCAGATTAGCATTCCAAAGGGGGAAATGACCACATAGCGCCCCCTACAGGCCGTGGACCTCTTGACCTCAGCCCAGTGTGGAAAGGGGACCTTCCCATTTGGGTCGACATTTGTGCCTGGAGACTGTGGGCCAGGGGTGGGGGGCTGGGATTACATGATGCCAACACGAGAGAGAATTCAATGTGCGGCATGTAATTGGGACACCATGTGTAATACACTTACGGGACCCACAAGCAAGCAGGCCGGGGGGGAGGGAAGGAGAGAGAGAAAGAGAGAAAGACAGAGAGAGAAACACAACACTACTCAAGTCTGGACACGCTACCAGGCAACAACCCGACTAAAGAGATCAACCCCCTCACCCTCCCCGACATGATGGTTTGACTGGCAGCGGCGTGGAGGGCAGGGGGGGGAAAAAAAAAAAAAAAAAACTTGCCGTTTTGTCATTTTTCAAACTGATGAATGAATCTAAAGACGGCAGAGTCAGTTTGGCATGTAATCATGCTGTAATTTCTGAAGGCGAAGCATAACAGCCCAACACCCCCCCGGCCCTACCCCCCTGATCGTAACACTTTTTTGCTGTTTTTCCCACAGTAAGGGGGCGGGGGGTGGGGGGAGGGGGGGGTTGTCCATTGGCTGCTTGCAAGGTGACGAGATTGATCGCTTTTCAGGGAGATGGAGATTCAGATGGGACACCGCCCGCTGAATTTTACGGATTCTTATGCCGCTTATGACCTGGTCCCACACGTCCTGCAGTTTGCTACCAGGCTGCCTTCGGATCTGCCCTCTAATGAAGTGTCATTAAGGGCCACAAAGATGTCACATTAAGACATTTAACTCTGTTGGGATAAAGAGGGCAGTCCACTTATTGTCAACACAGGGGGCGCCGTTCAGTGTCTGAGCCAACAAGGCTAACAACCACACCCTACCCCGAACCACCGCATTAAAACTCAGTGTTTCTTTTTGTACAGAAGAGGGGATAAAATATGTAAAAAGTCAAGGACTAAACCCCATTCGCTAACATGCTACTGTCAAGACAGTATTCCCGTTTATACGGGAAAGATGTATTTATCCCTGACAGATATGCACGAAAACAATTACAGCTGATATAATAATGAAAGACACTCTGCTGGGTAAAAAAAATCACCATGACCTTAGTCTGTAGCATGCTAATGTTAGCGGCCGACTGAAGTAAGGTGTAAGGAGCCTGGGGACAGGACAGGACGCAGGCGGGTCTGTATGGTCACTCGGGAAGTCGCCGCATGTCACACTCCTCCCTTCCAAATCTGTGAAACCAGCATACCAGCTCGGCTTATAAAAAAATAAAAAACCCATAACCCTAATTAGCATCGAGCTGGGGCCAAACAAAATACTGCGAGGAAGAGCCCACAGGGAATTCTGGGGGGAAAAAGTAGGACGGTGGCTGAGCGCCGAGCGGCAGAGATTAAACGCGTTACCCAGATGGCTGCGGGGGGGAGCTGAAGGTGAAGCCTACCCCCCCCCCCCCTTCTTTTTAACAGGCCCCCCACCACCCGGGGTTGGGGGCTATGGGCCCCGGGGCCCCCGAAGCTGCTTCCTGCACTAGGTCTCGCAAAAGCAGCACATCGGGGAAAACCAGTGAAACTGTCTGATCAGAGGCATGGCAATAAGGCGTCTTGGATGCGATCACTCGGATATTAAAGTCATTAAATCCGTAGGATTCTGTGACCGCATAAAACTGAATTCTAGCAGTTTAACAGAAGCCATGTTGGCTCTTGATGACAGAGCAGCTTTAGAATTAGCCAACAGCATCGCAAACATCACACTGATTCGTGCTGTTAAACCTGCTCCTGTTATTATAGCCAAAATACGCCACAGGAGTGGCCATCCTCTAACTGCCGCTCTTGTTACAGCATTCTGTCCTTTGCACACCAAAGCCATTTTCATTTTTTTCCCTTTTAAAGTCGCAAAACATGAAGTTATGAGCTCATGTTTAAGTACAACAGTTTCTGCCCTTGAGTGGCTGCTGAATTTGAAAAAATTCCAGCACTGATAGCTAGTAGTTTAGACGCAAGACAAAATTCTTAGTATCAGTAATAAACTGACCAAGCAAGCAATACAATACAGTAAAAGTCTGATAAAATTATGCAAAAAGACTATATGATAAAATTTATTTTTCATTTAACCTTTATTTTTCCAAGCAAGTCGCTAAGAAAAATGTATTTCCATCGACGGCCTGGCAAAAGGCAAAAATGAATCTTTTGACGACAAATAGACAATACATTAAAACATAACGGTAAAAATCATAAGAATACAAAAATGCCCGTCAACAAATAAGCCTTTAGATAGATATTTTGTAAATGTGTTGATATGAAAATTTAACATCAGCCCACGAAAGGTCAAAGGTCAAGCATATCGTTGCTCTAGATGCATGCGAGCACACGGGATAAACCGGGAAAAGAAAACGCCATTAATGCGTTTGCACGCAATATGCAGGCACATGCTGATAAAACAGAGGCTCCATAACTTAGGTGGAATAACAACCTAACACTGATTGGTTGAACCCACTTCCTGCTAGCTATTTTATTGGTCCCCTTGAGGTTAAACCAGACAGCGATTGGCTCTGCAATTCCACCCATTGTGACCTTCACAAGAGTTCTGTCTCATAGTAATAAGCCTTGCATTCATATTACCAATTTGTCCGTCGAAGAAAGAGATTCCTGCATGCGCCTCGCTCTCAACTCGTAAAAATTGTTTTCAGCCTTTGATGGCCCTAATTACATGAGTCACATGTACTGTTATTTGTCCCCGACAAGCAGACAGGGAACCAAAAAGGATTGGCCTTGCATTCTAATCAACCCGCTGACAGCGCTAATCATCTCATCCTCAAACTGCTATCCTGCAGGGCAACGTGAAGACCAGAGCCTTTGATTATCTCCATTAAGGACAGTGCTGAGACATCACTAATCGCACGTGAGGCATTATTAATTGCACGTGAGCACATGTGGCTCAGAGAAATGAAGATCAAACGAAGAATGAAGACGCGGGGCTGAAAACCGGTGCACAGAACAAGGTGAAATATCGCTCGCAGCGTTCCCGAAAGAGTGAAGCACGTGACCTTTCCAAAAGGATGCTGATTGGCAGAACCTGCGAATGTTTTCGTCAGGTTTGCATTTCAATATGCAGGGAAGTCTGGGCTGGAAACTGACTCCATTATAAAGGAATAAATACATTCAGCACAATTATGCATTCACAGACCGTTCAGCACCACTTCAGGCAAGTCTCGGCGAAAATGGGCTTCCCTGGGTAACTCAGATACTGTAATGGTTTAGTACAGACCCTAACATAATCCATTCATGGGGGGGGGGTCAATGTATACAGACTATAAATGAACCCATGACAGTAACGCTGGAAGATGGTAAAATGTCTGCTGTAATAATTCCCTCTCTTACCTAGAACACTATTGTTAAATGAAGGTAAAATGACTGCTGTAATAATTCTCTCTCTTACCTAGAACACTATTGTTAAATGAAGGTAAAATGTCTGCTGTAATAATTCTCTCTCTTACCTAGAACACTATTGTTAAATGAAGGTAAAACGTCAAATATCACTGCAATGACTGAGAAGTGACATTTACCTGTAAAGGGTTTTACACACAAACATATATATTCCCAGATAGCCCTTGTTGCCAGAAAATTTGCTTTCACAATGTAAACCTAGGTGTTGGATAGGGACATTTCACTGAGCTCTGCAGCATGTTTTAATCCTGATTAACAGATGAACCTCTGAAATATGATTACAGATCTGAAGGTGGAGCAAAGGCAGCGATTTCCAGACATCAGCCAATCAGGAAGCAGCCCAGAGGCTCCACGCGGCTGACAAGCTGTCGCCCGCTAAACCCGCGAGGATAACCTCCGGGAAAGTAGCTGATCCAGCACATTGCGGCCGAAATTATGGCCTGAAATTATTGTCCCGCCGTATGTCTTGCTACGCCGTCCCCCAACAATTAGACCCAAGGGCCTAGGACTGCAAATAAGAAGAAAAAAAAAACGTTCTGTCTGTTCTTATCACAATGCGTGCCAGGTTAACGTTTCACTAAAAAATGCCCAAAAGCAGAAGGTGACCAGTACCACCAAGTCCTTGGACTTGGCAGAAATGTGATATTCTTGATGTTGTATCACACATCATTCAATGAGCAAACTAGTCACCAGAACCAAGGCAGCTTTCCATCGTAAATAAACTCACTACAAACACCAAACAAGACATCTGTAACTGCAGATTCCACTAAACTGAAGTCTGCTAACGATACGACCTCATAGCTCGATTCACCACATCAAGGCTAACCTTTACAGCACCTACTCATTAAACAAAACCTGGCTTGCATATATAAATGTCTCCTGAGAGCCAGCAGAGCAGAAATTTCTAAATGGGCCTCTTTGTGACGCTGAGAGAGAGTGGCCCGTAGCATTAGACCCGGTTTATTCAACTCTGAAAGGTTGTCTCCGTGTGGTAAGGCTCCTTTCCCAGCTCGCCAGTCAACCGAGTCGAGTATTATCTGGCCATTTATGATGCCCTTTAAGGCCGACCGCATGACCATTTCCACGCCTTGACCTGTCAGCGGCAGCTCAGATATCCCAAATCATGGAATCACCACCCAAAAACGACCAGTTAGGCACTTAACCTTTAGGGCAGCTGGCCGCTTTGCTCACCTTAGGAGTGCGGACTCTGTTAGCAATCTCGATGTCAGAAACCTCCGCAGGCAGAGCAGACAAAGCATACATATGAAGGCATTAAAGATTAATTAGAACAATATTAATTAGTGATAATTTTTAAGCTGGTTGTGTGTCATCGGAAGGCTAAGTGGTCTCAGCTTACCATTTTATAGGTCAGTACACGCCTGCTACACGACCACTGCTGCTCAACTCAACCAAGGGTGTCTCATCTCCATGTGGAGGTCTCCACGGCAATAAACGACAAGCATCAGCAAATCTCAGATTTTTAATTGGCT